CATGCATTCCTTGCTTTCTTTTCTTTTATGGCTCTTTCTGGTTTTTGCCAAGATATAAGAATCAGCACCCTTCACAAAAACAACAACAATATACCCAGTGTAATCCTACAAGAAGCATCATCCTCCACAAGCTGTCCTTAAATATTAGATTCTAGATGTTTTCCATGTAGCCATTGCTCTCCTCAAATTATGAGTATATAATTGGCTAACATGTATTGGACTGAAGTGTTTCCCTGTCTGGACGTTGATGTATGACATACATTTTGTTTATTGCCTTACTAAATGATTGCCGATTGAGGACAGTTTGCTAATATCGCTTAGTTACTCTGTTACTTTCTCATATATTCCAGACTGAGGTATCAGTTCACTGGGGTAAAGAGTGTTAAATCCTAGTCAGAATTATCTATAAAAACCTCTTCGTCATGTACCAATGTAAATCCAGTTGACTAAAAACTCGTATCTTACCCAGTCCCATACTTATGATTGTAGTTCCAATCATATATCAAGTTTACCGTGTACGTGATGGAAAGAGCTTTGCTACACGAAGGGTGGATGCAATTCAGAAAGGGAATATTGTATTCACATTGGTAGCTTCATTTCAGGTGATTATATCAGCCTTTCATCAAGATGGTCACATCTTAGCAATACCTTTTTTTATGGCTCTTTTTAGTAATTCAGCATAAATATTTTTCCTAGATTTATATGATTTTCTTTAGCAAGTTGATTGGATTCACGCGAAAGCATGAACTTGCATGCTATGTAATGAGTATTTGTGGTAGAATACAAATTGTGAAAAAAAGCAACGAGGAGGAAGGATAAGCATCGAAAGCATAGTTTTGAATGAATTCAACATAACTTGGATTTCTTTTAAACTAGTGTTCACCTTCTTCATCTGCAAATATCATGTTGGCATGACATATTGATATTAATTTTTAACCTTCAAATCTCACAAAACTATGAAGAAAGTTGAAAGTTAGCAAGCTTCACTAGTGAAGACAATTGGATCGGCTCATCAACTTTCAGTCATTTGTGAAATGCTTTGTTCTGCTCGTTTTGATCCTACCATGGAATACCCTATTCTGTATTCTGAACTTTTCGGGCTTCAACTGCTACCCCCACAAAAACCCTTGACTTATAATGATGATTGTGACTTTGATGGACACTTGTTTTTGCCTGGAATACTGCAGTAACTTTTTAGTGAGATACAACTTTATGTGACACTATTTTCATTACACCATTATCTTTATACTGGCTGATATGTTCGTAATATTTTTCTTAAAACTACATTTATTATTGGTATATAACGTGACAGAAAGATGAAGATGGATTTGATCACCAGGAAGCAAAAATGCCTAATGTGCCTGATCCAGAAACGGTAACCTTCTTACAATTGCATGAGCTCTGCTATATCTGCAACTGTGCTCCGAGCCTCTTCTCCTTACGCTTTTGTTGAAATCCAATTACAGCTTTTATCACTGGAAGATTTGAGAGAAATGCGCAAGACTGATCCTCGGCTTCCCAGGTCAGACTCTGCCCACTGTTATGCCCTTCATGCTATGATGTTTTAAATTTTTTATAGTTTGGTGACAAGTATACTATCGGATAATGTATTGTAAATAGTGTAATGCATAAGCTTTAAAGTATTTGCCTTGTGGAAACCATTTGTATTATGAACTTGTGCCTTTGGAAGTATAACTTCTCCAGCATGAGCCGTCTTATATCTCTTGAATACTTTGGCTTCAAAGTGGATGCAATAGTACACATTTTTGCTTAGTCCTGAGTCTCATTAAATAATTCCCTCGGCAAGCCTGACTTTTCAGAAATATCATATGTTCTGAGATCTGAAAATTAGAAGATGCATAAAGCCTTTTTATTCTGTTTGTGGTTACTTATTTTTGGGACCCTTGGTTTTGGTGATACTAACAGTGAATTTTGACAGGACATACCGAAATAAGGTTGCTACTGCAAATTTTGTACCTTGGCCAATAGAAATAAGGTTTTGTGAACCTAATAATGCCACTAGTCACACCAAGTCTCCTCCAAGGTTAGTCATGCTTTCAGCTATCTGTTTCCCTTCTGAGGTTGCAACTGTAATTAACCAAACTTAAAGTTTATGTAAGCTTGTATATTAGTAGTATCCTCATCTTGTTTGTGTCATCTCTTTCCTACACAGTTTGAGATATTGGTTCAGAGCAAAAGGAAAACTTTCGGATGACCAGGCTTTACATAGGTAAGCTATCAGTTTTTTTCATTTAATTCGCTGAGCTCATAATTAAGAGGAGCAAAGCAGGCAGTTTAGCAGCCTCATCTTATCTCAACGAGAGCTCTCATGAGTAGATTTGTTATTGAGCTAGAGAAGGAGTTCTAGTGGACACTTGGGGACTTGGGGTTCGAAATGAACACAAGTTTGTTATCGCCACTTCTTTGGGTATACTCCCATAATCCCACTTGAGGCCATGTATGACTAATATGAGTGCCTCAAAATTGTATGTTTGTTCTTCAAAATCATGTTTCTTCCTTGTAGGTGCATATTTTCCATCAAAAAGAAACATAAAAGAAATCAAAATCAGGAACTTGTAATATCTTAGCATACAGAATTTTTTTTACTTATGCAGAATGATGCCATATTGCAGTCTGCATCTTTTAATGCAATATTTATGCTGGTTGCAGATGTGTTGCAGCATATGCATCAGATCTAATCTTTAATACTGTCAGTCTGAATCCTCATCGAAGGAAGGGTTTCAAGATAGCTAAAGTTAGTCTGGATCATTCGTGAGTTCCAACAACTCTTAGACCATTTTGTTTTTTTCTTTAATGTACCAGCTTTATATTATGGGGAATATGTCAATGTTTGCCAAAGCAGTTAATATAATTTCTTATAAAATGGTTCCAAAACCCTTTCCATGTTATCAACAAATCCCTAGTGTCCTTTATCTTTAGACAGGCAACTGGACTTATAGTTCCACTTTTGTTTACCTTTTTCAGGATTTGGTTCCACAGATCTTTGAGAGCTGATGATTGGATATTGTTTGTGGTAAGAAGGAAAAGTCAAAAAACTTATGATTGTCTCCCTTTTATTAGTGGTTTCCATTACTAGCAGCCTTCGTTCTAACTATTTATCATTTTATAGATGCACAGTCCGACTGCTTATAATGCACGTGGCTTTGTGACGGGCCAAATGTTTAATAGGAAGGGAGAGGTAAAGTACTAGACCTGAGAAGTGTTGATGTCTGAGCTACCAAAGTGTTTTATATGTTCTTGCTTTGTCAATGTGCTTATTTTTAATGCTTTCTGATCTCCAGCTTGTAGTGTCATTGACTCAAGAGGCCTTATTGAGGCCAGCCAGAAAACAACCTGTATTCCAACCAAAGCTCTAATCCATGTCAGGTCCATTGGAAAAAGAGGACTAGGTAAAACTGCAGAAAAGCTCAAATAAGTCCTGTAGAGGTCGCGATATACAATTAACATAGCTGTTTTAATAGTGGAAGAGTATGATGTATCTATATTTTACAACCATTATACAGAACTACCCCACCATTCTCTCTGTAACTCTCATCTCACCTTTATATATAACCCCACCAGAAGAGGCATTGCTATTGTTGCATTGATCAATCTATGATTGTTTTAAAATGTTGCAAATAATGCTTTGATTTTGAAATGCCATGGGTTTGAATTTCTTTAGTTCACTATCCAGCAAAAGTGAAGAGCTCATGTTTATTGACTCATCAAATTATCTTGATTTTTGAAATAATAACTCAGTCCATGGGTTGCAATTGTATTTCTTTAGATAACATAATTCTAAGTAAAACTATTTTCAAAAGAAGTTTTTCGAAACTAATCCAAAAGCACAAAGATATCTTTCAAAATTATTTTGCAAAAATCAAAACCAAAGTGTTATTTGTAAGAATGGCTCCATTTGGGATGATATTTAATTTTAGGGAAAATTACGCAAATTAGTCTCATTGGGTAAAGTATTTATTCAAATTGGATCAAACTTAATATATTTATCCTGATTGGACCTACAAGCCAAACTAATTACCTGGTTGCTGTCTTTGTTCTATTCACTAAACCACGGTTGATATCATATGCTCCTATGATATTTAACTATTTATATACTTTGATGGTATCTATATACTTTGATAGTATCAGTAATTAAACAATCTTTTCTTTTCACTGAAACGCCGACTCTTCCTCCTTGATGCCATCAGAGTATGATATCAAGGAGTAACTGAGTAATTTTTTTTTACTCAAGCACTACTTCTTCCTCTTTGATACCATCAAAGTATATACATTTATTAAAAATAAACGAGTATTAAAATAAAGGGGCAATACACATTTTCTTTTCCCTCAGTTTTATCCATCAAATTGATGGTTTTTTTTTTCTTGTGAATATTTTAAATAATAAAAAAGTAGTCAAAAATATCTGGAACGTAAAAAAAAAATGTATAACAAAAAATTATATTTTTATAAAATATAACAAGTTATGCACTTTATTCCTATGGAACTTATACCGTTAGAGACATCATAACTTTCCAATTGTGTCTTGCAAGCTATAATAACTCAGTAAAGATAGAAACATAAATTCAATTTCAAAATGTTATACCTTGAAAAACTTGATAACATTTTAAATTATGTCTTATAAAACATAAATTAGTTTTTTCGGAACTACATCATATGTAAATTCAATTTTCAAGAATTAAAAAAAAAATTATTTCTTACTTTCTCCGTTTAAAAAATATTGATCTAGTTTGACTTAGAACGGAGTTTAAAAAAAGAAACAAAACTTTTTAATCTTGTGGTTCTAATTTAAAGTTATGTTAAATGTACCAAAATACCTTTTAATCTTGTGGTATTAAACATGCCACGTGAAAAGTTAAAAGTTAAAATGTTATAAAAAATAGATTATTATTTTTTAAACAAAAAAAAATAGAATTATTTTTTTTTAAACGAAGAGAGTGTAATTTATGTACGGTGGATTAAATACGACACTACTTATGTCTGCAAATAAAGATGGTTCAGCCCAAATGCCCAATCAACACACGAACTCCTACAATTTTATAGTTTCAACCCCAAAAGAATTACAAATTACGCATCTTCCTCATCAACAAACTGTAAATTGTTCCTTTGGACTTCTCATACTTTCATCCTTCCTGTTTTCGTCTGAGATCGTCAAATGCAGTCCTTCAAAGCCGCTCCCAGTAACCCACAGGTCAGTTTTTGCTAAATTTTTTTATAAAAAATTGAATTGATTTGATTTAAGGGGTGAATTGTGGAAGAATGGAATCTCGTCATCTGATCTGTTGGTTTGTATTCAATTTCTCTCAAGAAGGGTCGTAGAATTTGTATACTTTTTTATTGAATTGGGTTTTGTTTTGTATAGTTAATGGATCTCTGTATTTCAGGGATCTGAACTTTGAATTTTTGTTTGTTTTAGCGCTGATGATAAAGTTATAAGGAACATTGTGATCTTTGTTTTCTGAATTTTAGCTAAATTGGTACCACAGATTTTACCACATCTTAATTTCCAGTATCTTAATTCCTCCTAATCTTTTTTGTTGGGTTGTTAACTTAAAGAGAAGTGTGAGATTGTTAGAGAACTTGTAGTTTTAGAGAATGCTTAGTGTATGAATTATTGAGTATTGGAGTGAAATGCGCCTAAAATTTGATCAATATTAAGGGATTCGATATAGTGAATATTTTTCGAGTTCTTGATCACCAGATGAAAAGGAAAACTTTATATTTATTTAGTGTTAAATCTTAACATTCTTCCTAATGTAATGTTGGTTTTGGCTCGTATACAAGACAGAGCAGCTTTACTGATATTGATTAGCTTGTGGATCTCTGCTTTGTAGGGTACAGGAACAAACACGGAACAGGTGTATTCTGAATTGGAGAATTTTGTTGTGACAGAAAATAGTTTGAATAATGACCAGTCTGTGGATGTCGAGGACAGTGGTTCGGGGGATAATAGTGAGTTGGATCCAGAGGCATCACGATTAATTCCTGGGCTTCCTGATGACATTGCACTTTTCTGCTTGGCAAGGGTTCCTCGAAGGCATCACGTGCTTCTGAAATGTGTGTCAAGAAAATGGAGAGACTTGGTTAGTGGTGAAGAGTGGCACTCCTATAGAAAAAAACATGATCTCCAGGAGAGTTGGATTTGTGCCTTAGGTAGAGATAAGTCTGAACAGCTGTGTTGTTATGTTTTGGACCCAACTCGATTAAAAAGGGGATGGAAGCCCATTCTAGGACTTCCACAACGCTGCATAAGGAGAAAAGGTGTAGGCTTTGAAGTGTTAGGGAAGAAACTATTCCTATTCGGTGGATGTGGCTGGATTGAAGATGCTACTAACGAAGTCTATTGCTATGATGCTGCCATGAATAAGTGGAATCAAGCTACTTCCTTGGTGGTTCCAAGGTATTTTTCCAACTTGCTTTTGTGGAAGCATTTTGAGTTTTTGACTCTAACGATTGAGTCTCAACCTATAACTAATATTCACTTGCCAATTTTTTTTTCAGTGTACTCAATCTCCAAATGCTTGTTTGGTTTTTATTTTTGAGATATCATTGTTATTGTCACAAAACCTCTATCTTCCACATTTTGTTATTTCCTTTTAGGATCATTAATCTTTACAAAGATCAGTTTTGTTATGGAACTTATAGGTTAGGCTTCGGAAGCCCTTTAGAGCAGGCATGAGTTGATTGCTTAGTTGCATGACAAACCCTTTGGCTCCTTTGCTTATTGGGATTTTATGTGCTGTGATTATTGTGTTTCCTCCTAGCAGTTGGTGAATGCATGTTGTTGTATAAGTTTTTCTCGGTTACTACCATGCAGTTCCACCCTTCACTTACTGATGAGAAGAGTCTACCAGTTAATTATTATAGTCATTCAAGTTAGCCTTCTTAAACTTCATTGTTTGATTGGGGTACACCATAGCTTATCTGAATCCTTTTCTTCCAGGTGCTACTGTGTATCTGAAGTGTTGGATGAAAAAATCTATGCAATTGGGGGCATAGGGCCAAATTCCAATAATTTACCTTCCTGGGAAACTTACAACACGGAAATAAGAAGTTGGACTTTGCATGAAAACCCTAACATTTTCCCTGATATTGAAGATTCTATAGTCTTGGGTGGGAAGATTTACATTCGCGGGGGTTCTTCGCCTCAATCTTCTTCAGTGTCTGCATTTGTTTATGAACCATCAAGCAGCACATGGCAGCCGGCAGCTTCTGAGTTAGTATCAGGTTGGTATGGTCCAGCAGTTGTCGTAGATGGAACGCTTTATGTGTTAGATCAGTCTTCAGGTACCAGGTTGATGATGTGGCAAAAGGATATTAGGGAATGGGTGGCAGTTGGGAGATTGTCACCCCTATTGACAAAGCCTCCCTGTCGGCTTGTGGCCGTGGGGAACAATATCTTCATTATTGGAAAGGGCCTTAGCACCGTCGTTTTTAATGTTGAAAACGCAAGGAACATGAATGGTGTGTTAGTGAGCACTTCCATTCCAAAGTCAATATCTGATGATGATGTAATAAGTTGTAAAGCAATCACAATCTAAGTGTGGGAATATCAAAGTGTAACAGCTTGCTGTGACTTGTTAATGTCCTTTACTACCGTCAGTGACACATCTGTTTTGCGTATGGTTCAAAGGGTTCCTATTCAGCTGGCGTCATGGTTGGGATTATACAAGCAAAATCCGTTAGTATTTTTGTATTCAATGATTTCATACCTTGTACACATACTGTAGAATTTCCATTTAGAGCATTCAGATATGGTGGGTAATTATATCTCCACTTGTATCATACTTCTTCTCTAAAATGCTTTAGCTATTGACTGAAAGAATCTGACTGGTGACATTAACTTTGTAGCATTTAGCAGAGCTACAGACTGTGATGAGCTTCATGAATATCACAATCAATCTGTTTTATTACGACTTTGCTTCATGAAACTTACATGGACTAAGTGTGAACTTTGCCATCGTCTGCCCTGTTTAGCATAACCTAGGCTACATCTACAATATCTTACTGACAACTCTCAATAAGTTCGTTTTCTTTTAAAGGCAGGATGGATGACTCCGTTGCACGATTGTAATTTATCAATCCTTTTCATACATTCCTTCATCCTAGTCAATAAATACAACAGGTATGGCAGAGGCATTCTCCGAAATCTTCTGTTTAAGGAGCTGTTCTTTTTGCTCCTCTCCAGCTAAAATGGCAATATGACCAGATTCAATTGGACCTTCAACATCTATAAAGAGATCAAGGTAACAATTTCAAACAAAACAAAAGGTTCCTGTAACATATGGTGGTAGACTATCTATGGACTGTCGCGATAAAACTTTGTACACTGTGGTTTGATGCTTCTACTAATGTCAAATATTAAACACTCATGGAACAACTCTGAGCTCGAACTCTGCAACAGATAAAAACCTGATATATAAGTGGAGAAGAATCATTTTGTCTTATTTTTTTGCCAAGTCTTCATGGAATCCAAGAAATTATAGATGTTCAGAGACATAACTTTCGGTCTACCTTCTTCTGACACCTTCACTTATCATAGTTGAATGCATAATATTCACCAAATTTATATCCATTCAAACATCACAAAATGACTTGAAATCAAAAATTTATGTTCTTGGGTTTAGTCAAAATATTAATCAATCAAATTGGGCACCGTTCTTTTCTATACTAACTCTGTTCCAGGAACAGGAGACACCTTTTCCAACATTCCAGCGCAAATATATGGAGTTAAAACATTATGCATCTGATCAATTGAAAAGAAAATAAATGAGAAAACCCAAGAAACGTACCGGAGCTTAGATCGCCGGAGGACCCAGATTGAGATTCGGACCCATCGTCAAAATGGGTGCCCAAAACGGGTCTTTGAGCGGTAAGAACGGAAGAGACAGTAGTTTTGAGCTGAACCGAGATTGTTCCCCGGTACTCCGCTATTCTCTCAGCCATTTGGTTCACTTCTTCCTCTATTTCTTCCAGCTCCGATACGTAATCGTTTCGCTCTAGAATTTGCTGCTGAGGTTGACTCAGCATTTCATCTTGACTCGTTTGCATAACTCACAATATTGGTGTTCGTGTGTTTTCCGGCGGTGGTGATGGTTGTCCCGGTGAAGAACTGGAGGAGCGGAAAATTGGGGAAGTTTGAAAATTTGAAAAGAAGTTGAGGATACCTTTTAAATATTTTTTAATATTACCATATTCTTAACGAGATGTTTAACCATCAATTGAATTGAAAAAAGAAATAATTCATTCGAATTACAATAACTCTGTTGCTCTTATCTTTTTTTTTTTTAAAGCGACCATCACTTTGTACGAAATTTTAAGTTATCACAATTCAAACCTCAATAAATTTTGTGAAGATTTGAATTGAGTTTAAACTAATTTAAAACCAAAAAATTTATTTGTCTTTGAATAAATTTCACACATGATGATGTTCTTGCATAAGCAGATGTTAGAATAAACAGAAATAATAATGACATAATATATATACATATATATTGAATTCTAAACTTGACTTTAAATTTTAACTTTGACCTCAAACTTTTATAGTACATAAATAGGTACTTTAATTATCCTATTTTTTGATAAATAAACACGTGATTCTTACCTGGCAAAATGCGTGAAATGCACGCATTCTGCGCGAGTGGGGTAATTTTTGAGGCCCACAGTGGGTAAAAAAATATTGAAATGACAATTCTACCCTTAGTGAATATCTTTTATATTAATTAAAATTAATTTTAAATTTTTTTAGTTTCAATAATGACGTATAAGATATTTTTTTTTATAAAAAAATACGTGTAAAATGTTTAATTAGTTGGTAGCCACTGATTGACTCACTAATACACATGGGAACGTTTGCATTTCACGCAACTTGGCTCCAAAATCGCATGTTTATTTATTGAAAGATAGAATAGTTAAAGTGTCTATTTGTGCATTATGATAATTTGAGGTCAAAATTAATAATAGAACATATCATCATATTCATCTCATCTATTACTATACATATCAACGATATACAAGTTATATAAATAAAAGAAATATATTTAATATTTACTATATTTTTTTTACTTTGGGAAATCTTACATCCACTTTATTAATTGCAATGTCACACCCTTTTAAGCACGTTACAAGTCGCAAATTTGTTGTGAACAAACTTTGATATTCCTTCCGTTTAGAAAAGCATGATCTAATTTGATTAGGAATGGAGTTTAAAAAAAAAAAGATTTTTTTATCTTGTACTTCTAAATTAAAGTTATGTCAAATGTACCAAAATATCTTTTGATCTTGTGGTATTAAACATGCCACGTGAAAAGTTAAAGTTAAAGTGTTGCCAAAAAAGAAAAAGAATCATTCTTTTTTAAACAGACTAAAAAGAAAATAGGGTCATTCTTTTTTAAACGGAGTAAGTATTTAAATTGGAAAGCAAAATACAGAAATAAAAATCGACTTAGGATTTTGCAGCACATTATTTAATACAAAATATATACGTTAAAATTTGTGTATTGACAAGCAGGTCTGGGTGGTGTAGTCGGTTATCACGCTAGTCTCACACACTAGAGGTCCCCGGTTCGAACCCGGGCTCAGACATTTTCTTTTGCCTAAATAAATTGCATGAAGAGTTGTAAATTTAGGTAAGTTGAAGTCAAACAAATTATGGTTATCGAATATAATATTATAAAATATTGAAATTAAAAATTTTAATATTAAATTACGATATTAAAATTTTAATATTGTACTGTGCCTCTTTAATTTTATATTATTGATATAATAGATATGTATATGTGTCTTTTAACTTGATGTCTCTTTTAACTTAATTTTATCAGATATTTATGTTATTTAACTTCAAATACATATAAATAAATATTTAAATTTATATAAAATTCAAATAAATATATAATCATATGTTCTACATGTAATAATCGTAATAATACACATAAAATATGATAGATATGTGTTTACTTTATTGAATTTTATGTCTCAGAGAGGATTTCTCTTTCTTGACTGAATCTGTGTGGCTTCTTCACTCCTCCAGTCGCCGGAGCAGATTTTGCAGCCAATTGCTGCCAGTGGACTTACGGTCAGTTTGCTTTGTATGAGCCATTGAGAATCTAAGATTCAAAAGTCATATTTGTGATTTGTTTATACAGATTTGAGTATAGTGTCCCTCCTTCTATCAACTGAGAAGCATCACTGTCCAATTGGGTATTTTTTTTTTGTGAAAATGTACTGCTGCCCACTCTCACCTTCAAAACAGAGACCTTATTCAACTGCTCATTTTCTTTCTCCTTCAGCGACATATTTTGGGATTTGTAATGCAAGCAAAAGGCTGTCCATATCTCTAATTAATTTGGGAAATGAATCAGAGCAATCGGTTACTACTTCGAGACTAAATTATGGGTTCCGTCTTGCAACCAAAAGGGTGTCTATTTCACTGACTAGTTCGGGAAATGGTGATCGTTTGGTTAATGTCAGGTGTGGAGAGTTGGCTGTGGAGCATGATGATGGGTTTTATATAAGAAGGTGTGTGGAGATTGCAAGGAAAGCAGTTGGGCATACCAGTCCTAATCCTATGGTTGGGTGTGTAATTGTTAAGGATGGGAAGATTGTAGGTGAAGGTTTTCACCCTAAGGCTGGCCAGCCACATGCTGAGGTGAGTTGACAATGAGGTTCATTTGGCTATTGTTCGATTTCATTCTTGGATTAATATTTTGCGCTAATGACTTATTGTAACTGAGACAACTATAATCATGTTTGGGTAGTAGTTTTGAAGTTAAAATTCTTGGTTTAGAAGCACAATTCAAATGGTTCAACTACTCTTAGATTGCAAGTTAAGCTCAATATTTTGGCCTTTCTCCATTTCGTTGTAAATTTTCTAATAAGGAAAGTGTTGGGTTTTAAAAAGGTGTGAATAAAAAATGAAGTGTTGGACTTTTATGAGAAGTTGCGTGTTTTATGAAAGGCTGTGATCTTTTCGAAAAATTGTGACTTTTCCAAAGGTTTGTGACCTTTCCGGCAAGACACAATAAATATGAGGGATTTCCTCTCATTTTTAAATAGGAACCAGTTTCTGGACTTCTTCTGCTATTACTAAATCTAGTATTCTAAGTGTACTTTATTGCCGTTGAGTGGCTCACTGACACCAGTGTTTTAGGTATCAATACACTGGTGATTGAGATCATTCTATCATGGGAGGATATATTTCAAATCAAACCTCGAATACTAGAGAGGGACACTGTGCATTCAGTGGGCTTGATCTTCTTTCTGTTTTTTCAGATTCTGGTTGTTAAAATCACTAAGATTCTTTAAATACAAATTGACAACAGAAAGAACATAAACGATTAGACTAGGGATTTGAGGTAACAAATATATTTAACCTGAATATTAGAGTATTAAATTAATATGTATATGTGACAAGGCACGTCTTCGATCCCATGAAGTGGGAAGGGAGCTTGGCAGTTTTTCTGTGCTGAGTTTTCTAAGAGTTGGAACTCTTTTATAAGTAACTTTAGTTTGATGAGGAGCTGTAGATAGTGAGTATGCAAAATTTATTGTGCTAAATGCTTAAAACACGAAGTGTAAATGTAGGTTTATGCACTCCGAGATGCTGGTGATTTAGCAGAAAAAGCAACAGCCTTTGTGAGCTTGGAGCCATGTAATCATTATGGAAGAACTCCACCTTGCACTGAGGCATTAATCAAGGCCAAAGTGAAAAAGGTGGTTGTCGGGATGGTGGATCCAAATCCTATTGTAGCTTCAACTGGTGTAAGTAGATTAAGAGATGCAGGTATTGAAGTGATCACAGGTGTTGAAGAAGAACTCTGCAGGAAGCTTAATGAAGCTTATATACATCAAATGTTGACCGGAAAGCCATTTGTCACACTAAGGTATAAATTTGATCTTTCCACAAATATTGCAAATTGTGACACCATGATTCAGGATCACATCATTCAGTGTGTGTATATCAGTTTCTCGATTACCCAATAATTAATCTTTAACAACAGGTACTCTCTTTCAGTTGATGGTGGTCTCTCGGATCAGCTGGGTGCAGAAGTCACGGAGTCTGGTGGATACTATTCAAAATTGTTACAAGAATATGATGCAGTTGTGGTTTCTTCTTTCTTGCTGTCAACAAAGCATTCTGTTCTTTCATCTAAAGAACCAGGAGCAAAGCAACCTCTTCAGATAGTATTAGCAAAAAGTTCAGGTTCACTACAACTCCCTGCCGTTACAGCGATATCATCTAAAACTATAATCTTTAGTGATGAGGATATTGTTATGGAGCTTGAAGCAAGTCAAAGAGGAATAGAGACAGTAGTTTTCGATAGGATGAATTTAACAGCTATCCTTGAACATTGCAAGCGTCAAGGACTGTGCAATGTGATGCTGGATTTGAGAGGAAACTCTGCAGAATTTGAGGAAATCCTGCAAGAGGGTTTTGAACAAAATTTGTTTCAGAAGGTTATTGTGGAAGTGTTGCCAATTTTAGGTGCAGGTTATAAAGAGGCTTTCAAATATATGCAGCAAAACCGAAAGCTGAAGAATTTAACATCGAGGAACTTAGGAGAAAGTATTCTTCTGGAAGGATATTTCTAAGTTGATGGAAGATTTTATGATGATGGTGATCATACAAGGTTATTTTCCACTTATCACTGAAAGCTGCAACAAGTCTACAAGCATATCAAAGTTACATTCCTGCATCTAAATGAGGGAACTTGATTTCTGAACCAGTCCTACTTTATTCATGCCACTTCAAACTATACTGAAAGGTCCATGGTGAGATCAAGCTTCTCTTATCAACGTTGTAGAACTAACTGTGCTTTGTACTAGAGTCTTATTCCATTCAAGTTTTTTTAGAAAATGTTTAAGATAAACACGTAATGTTGCTTTCCATTGTTGCATTTCAATTGACAATAAAGATGTCTGCATTTTGATCTCCACTTCCGTTTGATCATATGATGAACTTGTTAATTGCTAATCCAGTACTTTAACTAAGGTGTCACAAATGGTGGATCCAAGCACCATTTTCAATGAGTTCATCAAGTTCCAAATCAGGAATTTGAAAGAACCAACAAAAATTACACTTCTCTCTAATCCCTACTGAAAAACCATGCCTTCTTATATCTCCTGAGATGAGGGAATGTTTGTTTTAAATCAAGACACCTACGCAGGCACAAACTCCGGTGAGAAAGACCAAAGGGCTTTGTTTTATGATTGCTTTGACTATTCCTTCCTTGACTCAAATATTTGGGCAAATGATGGACAATATTTGAGTCAAATGAAAAGATCATTTGAAGTTGAAGCTGAAGTCGAGATAATGTTTGTGGATTTTCAGATAGCGTAACTAAGTTATACTTCAATATCCAAGATCCACTGTTCTTGAGGTTGCAAGTTCAGAGAATCCATAGAAGAGTCTAAAGCTGCCACACCTACAACCCGAAATGTCCCTCTTCTTCCTTCTCCCCAACAACTTAGCCTCTTCAGAAGAAAAAGACTTATCCTGACATTGCCCAGTTGCAGATTTTCCCTCATTACAGGAGCAATGTGTGTTGGAGAACTTTGACATTATGTCATCAAACTATCAAGGTACATTAGAAAATTATAGTTCTTTCTGTTATTTTGTTTAATGTCTGGTTTGCCAAATAGATTCCGTTTTGCGATTTCATTTTTTAAATTTATGTGATTCCGTTATTCAAATTTGCATTTTACTTTTCATGGTTCTTTGGCATTACATATGTTTTCTTCTCCAATATTCTGTGTATGAAATTCTTTAATTGTTTTATTTAGTGCTGCAACCATCTTATGAGAATAACGGCCTTTGTCATTGAGGGATTTGATGAGTAAATTAAATTTTTTAATGTTAAGTTTCAGAATTGTAGCAGGAAACTATCACATTAGCATTGCAAATATCTTAACAGACAAATATCTATCCATATTAGCATACTCCAACTATTGATTGATGTAGTTGTCATAACTCCTAATAACTTACCAAAATTTCACATTTGTTGCAAACACTTTTAGGCATTTTATAGCTCTTTCTCTGTATGATCTGTGTCATTTGTGCTTTTCAGCAACCAAAAGTGGTGATATGAATACCGAATACCTCTTCTTGTTCGGTGTGTCTGTTCTATGACTTCAAAACTGAAAGAGAAAGAATCATGGTTGCCTTGGTTTCTGTGGGGTGTAGTCTATACATTGATACACTTTCTGTTAGTTCATATTCATGAAAGAGGACAAAATGGTGATGTGCCCAGAATGCCCATGATATGCAAACTGCTCTTGTTTTGCTTGTGGCTTTGAAGATGCTATTAAGTTTGTAAATTTTGTGCATAATTATCTTTTACTAATATATATACATTATCATTTTTTCTCATGTTTTATTCTTTCATCCTTTACCTCTTGAACCAGGTAACCTAACATGGTTATGTGCAGTACAAATCACAACAAAATTTGATGATAGTGGAGTTTGAAACCACAACTCCACAACCCCTTCCTTACAGGTTGTCACTAAGCCATCATTCAATTTTGTTAGTGAGTTCACAAGTTAATCTACGTATATTTATTTAATTTTCTAATATAGATACATGATCTACGAAAAAGTTATTAGGTTCATTCAAACACTGGTTTCAGTTTTAATTCTTTTCTTTTTAAATTGTAGTAAGAGTCTATGAACTCGTGAATATTGGAACACAATCATGCAATGCTTTCAAGGTTCACACCCAGTGTCTAGTGAACCTTTGCACTTGTATCCGTTTGTATTCTGAATCTTTTTACTTACCCCTTTGTCATTTGGACCCTTAACTCAATAAATGGTTTAATGAGTTTAAGGGCCCAGATGACAAAAGGATAAGTATAAGGATTCAAAATACGAACTGATACAAGTATAAGAGTCCACCAGACTATTTCACCAAAATAAATAAATTTTGTACATCCAACAATTGAAAAAAAGTTATGAGCTAAAAGATCTTATTTAACAAGCTAGCACAATTTGAGAGAGAAATATAAAATGTCACGTAGTGCTTGATTATAAACTATCATATAAGAGTACTGTATCAAAAAATTTTAAGTAGCTAACTATATCACAAAGTCATATTCATCAAGATTGATATTGTTTGCATCAATCTTTGATATTTCATTTTCTTCTGAATTCAAACGGTCATCCTCCAATGCAGCAAGAAAATCATCCCCAACATCCACCTCTCTATTATCATCATCAATCTCTTCTAGTTCTTCCATAACCGAATCGATTAATTCATTAACTTCAACCTCATTCATGATATTCTCATCTTTTTTCTTACCATCATCACATCCTTGTTTCTTCTTCTTCTTCTTCTTCTTCTTAATCATACAAATTACGAAATCCTTATGTACAACTTTCTTCTTCATATTAGTAACGTACCGATCATACAAAGAGTATTCCATCATCAACCACTCCCCGAATAACTCCTTGATTATTGCCTTTTTGTTAGTGGCTGGAGTGTACTTCATACGGTGTACGTACCCCATAAGTCTACCTTTTTCATCCAACACTTTCTTGGCTGGGTCTTGTATCTTCCATGTACCACCCTCCCCAACAATTCTCTTAAATCTTGTATGATGAGACTTCTCTTTCTTCAATGGTGTAATGAAGTAACCTGTGTTGGTGTTACTGCCCTCAAGAATCTCCCATGGTTCCTTCTCCGCGTAAAGATCAACTCGCTGCATGTATCGATGTTGCCCAGGAAGTGGCTCGTCTGTCACAAAACCAACTAGATACTTGAGAACCTCCCTCTCATTTGGGTAAAAACAATAGTCTGATTGCCTCTTACGTTGATGATGATCAAGAACAACCATTATATTTTAACAATTAAGTATAATAATGGATGGATCAAGCTGAAAGAAAAACCCTAGTAATGTATGATCGATAAAAGAATTTGATATTATAATGGCAGAGATATTTTGATTTTTTTGTTCTACCCTTTTATGAAAGGAAATCGAGTTAAAAGAATGTTCTAGTAACTAATTAAGTTGTATAAGATAGAAATCGATAAAAATAGGTTGATCATAGTCATAATCCTAATTTGTATCCTGCATGGAAATGGAATATTAAGCTTACCAATTTTGGTAACTTATAGAGATTTTGAAAAAAAAATTCTTTTTCCTTCTACGTAAGAAAAATAGTTTTTTTTGGAAACAAAAAAGGATTTGTATAATCTAAAACTTACCTGATTAGCTTACTTATCAAATAATTCAAATTCAAAATATTAAAGAAAAAAATAGAACCTTCTATTTATGGTAAATTCGAAGAATTAAATATTATATAGAGTTAAATATCATTTTATTTTTGTAATTAAACAATAAGGGAACTTACAAATATTAAGTTTATCACTTTGGAAAAATATGTTGAATTTTTTCCCTTTTATGCGAGAAAAATAGTTTTTGTTTTTCGAAAAAGAAAAGTATTTTGATTAGGAAAAAGGATAAAGAGTTACCTCTTTGCAAAGCAGCCAAAGCCTCTTGTGGTAGGAAGAAAAAGATGAATCCTTCACTAAATAAAAAACACAAGTAAATGATGGATACAAAGAGGCAAGTGAACTACTCTGGACATGGTGCTTTTATCGGGTCAGTCTTACTCCGAAACGACGCACAGAAGAAGTTCGATTTGTATGTATTACAAAGGGTTGCTTTCTGAATTACGATTACAACTAGAAACGCCTAATGTCTTTTGGAGGCTTAAAGTGAAGAGGATGAGTTTCTGGGGTAGCAGTTTCGTCTTCTTTCCACATCTTGATGGTCTTATCAGCTTCACAGCTGATCAGCCTTGAGCCGGTTACATCGTAGGTGAGGGCATAAATGCCAGCCTCACTGTCCAGTGACCCTGAAACATAGCAAGGAATAGAATAAACCTTTTGCTCCTCTTGATAAAAGTAAACATCAACTTATCAATACACATACCAGGTTGAACAATAGTTTGAGATTGCTGGAAATTGTGACCGCTTTTCCAATCCCAAAACCACATGCTTCCATTGTCACCTACACAAGGAGATGCACAATGCATCAGCAGTACATCATTGACCTCCAGCTTAAGAACAAAAAGGAGGGAAGTGGAGAAGAGGCAGAACAAAAAATGAGTGGAATGGGTGAATGGGGTGGTGACATTAACTACTTCTCACCTCCAGTGACCATTACACCGTCATTATTAATTGCCATCGCGTTGACTATGGTTTTCTGTTGGGAACTGGGAAAAATATGTCGACATTACTTTAGATTCAAATTTACTATGAAAATGGTATAACTCAATATGATTAAAGATATATTAAGATGTGGATGATGTCAAGGTTTTATGGCATATCATGAGACTTACAGCATGTTGTGCATAAATTCTCCTTTTGGAAGACTGAACTTTTTTATGTTGTCTGCTGATGCAGAAGCAAAACAATCCCTGCAAGAAAATGAAAGTAACAATTAATAGTGTACTCCGAGGAGAAGTTAGGGAATCAAGAAAATAACAGAGCATCTGTCGTGTAAACATACTCTGTAGGATGCTGAGCCATAGCTCGAACAGATTTCTTGTGATGTGTGAGAGTTGCCATTGTCTTACCTGCCAGACAAGGAAAATTAATAATCATAGGAAATTAGAAACTGAAACCATTGTAATAATAAATAGACCATAAAATCCAGTAAAGAAATCCTCGTTACCATATCTAAGGTCCCAGAACTTAATGGTACTGTCATGAGAGCCAGTTATAACCTGTGGATCCTGAAACAAAATTCCCCATCATGAAATCTGATTGTTAAGTATAGGCAATAATGCAACTATGAAAGAGTTGTTAACATATGATTAAGACATCATAAAAATGAGACACCTTGTGTAATGTTTTTAGTAGACCCAGGAGTTCTTTGCTTCATACCCTAATTGTTCTAATCATACAAAAACCACTTCTACAAAGAACAGATACATGGATGCAGTAGTAGTTGCTAAGGTTTAACTGTCTCATGAAGGTGCATCCATTTGCATGGGCAGTCTGTACCCTGTTAATACTATGTGAATCTCCATATCAAGAAATATTCGGCTGCCAAATTAGGGGTTAAAATAGAAAGTATCCAGAATAGGTCATTTGAATCTTGTACTCGTACAGATTTTAGCATAAAATCACATATATCTTTTAATGAAACACTTCAGACATTCCATATGATTAACAGCCCACCACCATTACAGTTGAGCATTTTTTATTTTCAAACAAAGTATTTTGATCCAGAAACCCATATTGTTTTATTGTTTAAATAGCACCAAAAAAAAATAACAACCCAAGACATGTTTTTTTGTTTCCAACAAAAGGTCAGCCAAAGTGTTTTTAACTTCTATATGTTTCCCTTGGATTTTATAAATTGCAGCCCTACCCTCCTTTTTCCCCATTTTTAGACAACACAAATTTAATCTCTTTATTTTTTCTTCAAACAAAAAGTTAATGAGATGTTCTCTTATAAGAAAAACATTAGGTAGTGGTGTAGACAACTTAGGACCCGTTTGGCCATAGATATCCCCAGTAAAATTTGGTAAATAGTATTTGTCCATACAATTTGTCATTATTTGACAAATATTTTTGGCAAATGACCTAAATACCCAAATACTAGAATCAAGCTCCTCTTTGAGTATGATTGGTTCCTGCACTGGTAGGAGCTTTGAGTTCTATTTTCCAATGTTGTATGAAGTTCACTCTTGTGATTTGTGCTACTTCCTTTAGTTATTGTTATTGTCTCAGTCTAGTCAGTCAATTGATCCACTAGTGAGTGTGAGTAGAGTAGTAATCTGGTAATCCATTTTTTTTTACTTTTTGATCAGATTGTCTGGTAGTCCAATCTTTAGATAAGACTCCACTAATTTAGGATTTTCTTTAACCAAACTATGGTTTCAAATCAGGATCAAATTGCTACTACATCTAGATTTTTTAAGCTTCCAGTCGTGAATTAATCTCCACACTATTGTACCTCTTAAGAAGCAGTATTATCTCATGCTTAAAATAATAAGACAGAGTTAACATTAGACCCAACTGTAAAGGAATCCTTACCATCGGCCTGGTAAAAACAGAACAAACAGTATTGTCATGTCCAGATAGAGCATGAATTTGCATTTTGCTACGAATATCCCAAACCTGAAATCGTGATAAAATTTTAATAGAAGTCAGAAGTAAACCAGTGTTGACATAGGAAGTACAAAATGAGAAAACTACTAAAAGCTTCAGTACTAGGATCTGCTATTCCTCAAGAGAAAATGCATCAATATTGTACCCGGCAGACAGAATCACGACCCCCGGTGAACAAGATGTCAATGGTTGGATGAAGAGCCAAGCAATAAACACCGCTGAGGTGGCCATGATAGGAGCGGATCACCTGAAAATACAGATAAGCCAAATGTACCCAAAAAGAAACATTGACCTGAGTTGTGAATGGCATTCAGCACTGTCATAATTACCTTATTTTGTTCCAGGTCCCAGCATTTAACTAGCTTATCATCACCAGCAGAGAACATGTATGTGTGTTTATTACTAACAGCAAGGCCTGCAAGGAGACTCCTATGGTCACTGGTCTATATCTTAGGTTAGAACTCAAATCCTCAGGCATGTTATAATATTTGATCATATTTCTGAACAAATAGAAGTTCTGGACAACAAACCTCGGACTTGTTCAATGTGCCCTGTTAAAGTGAGCTTCAGTCTTCCACTTGCTAAATCCCATATCTTGTACCATCGCAGAAAAAAAGAAGATATACTTAGTGCATGATGGACAACCGATTACAAATGCCTAATGTATGCGTAGCCATCTATATATGAAAATGAAAACTGGTACAAAATTTCCACCACTCTAACAAAGACACAGGCAAAGAGCAGAGGTGTTCTCATCAACTGCCATTATTTAACTAAATTAATGCTTTCAATAACATAGGACTGTAGTAATGCAACTTTGGCTCGAGTACCAACTCTAGAGCCTTATATCAAGTCACACACAGATATTCCAACTAACCTCCAAGATTTTCAAGACTCATGATCAGAAATGGTAGTAATAGGTAGATAGTATATAATCACAACTAAATCATCTTCATTGCTGGCTGTGCATACCATAATTCTTTTTTATGCAAAGTCAAAATCCAGGCCGCATTCAAATAAAAACTGCATAAATATACATTAAGTTTCACCTGAACTTGGAGAGAACAAACAGTACAGTTATCACTCTCAGAATAAAATTCTGGTACCAGCAATAATATTTCAATTTTCTTTTTCTATTTTAGATTGGAGCTGGTAGAACTAGAACTAGTCAAAGGTGCACAAGCTGAAATGGTGTGGGCTACAATCCAGGAGCCATTACACCTTAAATCCAATATTATTATTTTTTTGATAAAGATAAAGTTGTATTCTAAAGCATTAAGGGTATGCTGGCTACCTCCAAAAAGTTACAAGCTATATCCATAATTACATAGATCCTAGGAATATACCAACTGTTCTACTTTTTCTATATCAGTTTCTTTACACCAAAAAATGCAACATGTTAATGCAATTTTGTTCAACTTTCTGAATAGTGTTAATAATATTCTCATGACACCTGAGCTTCCTTTATCTCCAAATAGCCCACCAGACACACTACAGACACCATCTGTTTCGGGTATTGAAACACCCCCTTCCAACAGCTCAAAATATCAGCAGTATGTTCTGGCATATACACCTTAAATCCAATATTACAGCAGCTTTTAAATTAAAAATTATGGTCCACAGGAAAAAAAAAAAAGAGAATAGTTTCATATCTGCAAAAACTGGATTCTTGACCACTTCCACCCACCCACCCACACACACACCCAAAAA